AAGAGCGGTGCTTGGGGGCGGCAGATAACGCGCGGGGAGGTAAGGACAGGGCAGGGGCCGCCGATCAGTTGAGGTGTTTTGTTGGCAGAGACGTCCATGAGGGGCAGCGTGGTTTCCAGCCCAGCGAGAGCTCCCGGCTCGGATCAGGCCTCCTGGGCAGGGGCCATCCCCGGGGTCACTTTGCCTCTGGGCCCAGGGAAATAGCATAAATTGCAAAAAAAGCATAAATTGCACCAATGGCGCTTACTAGATTTGCACTGTTATTTTCCAAGTATAATCAAGCAAGGTAAAAATCAAATCGACTTTCTGAATCGGACCCCTGCTGAGGTTTTGCTCGGCGTTACGTGGCTCTTAGTGGTGCTGGTTCACCCCTGCAGGATATAATCAAGTCTGCTCTTGCCAGTAGTTTAAACTGCTGTGTTTTGGTAAGGTTAACCTTGGCACCGTGCTCCGCAGGTTGTGGGGGGTAAGTGGAAGTGTGTTTTTTCCGAATAAAGAGAGGAAAAGAGAACTTTAGTAATCTTACATGCTCTCTGATACATAAATGCCTAGTCCCAAAGCAATATCGCTGTGATGAACAAACTTGCCTCCAGGTTAGGCTCTGTTTTCAGAGGGGTTTATTACGAGAAGCACACGTCTCTGAAAATTAGATCTGGGAAAGATGTAGGAAGATGAAGGAAGATCCTCAGTCTAAAGCATCTTGAAGTCCTTTTGGGATCCAGAGATGCCAGCCTGCCACAGAGAGCGGGAGAAGAACAAATCAAACTCTGAAGGATTAAGATACAGGGACTCTGCTCATTAACAGAGATGTTTGCTCGCGCGCTCTCTCGCTCTCTCGCTCTCACTCTCATCTTTACCCTTTTTTTTTCCTGATAACGTCTGTGCTCCCTTACCCCTCACAATCTATCAAGCTGGAGCTCTGCTACAGAGACCACTGTCGTAATGACAACAGCAACTCTTGGAGTTTGTGTAATGTTCTTCACCCCAGGATCTCTGAGAGCTTTGCAAAGCTTCCAAGTATCACTTTTACTTTTCAGCTGGTGAACCTGACCTATAAAACAAACAAACCTGAAGTTGACTTATTCAAAGTCTGTGGCCTGCAGAGGTCGTGTTTAGATGCTCCTATCGTTTTTCTGGCCTGAAGATTTATGGTTCTCTGAGGGCCAGGCGGTGAATCAGCAGCTGAGCTAGCGTTGCTTCTGCTGACTTCCCCTTTCTGTGCCCTTCTTCCGTTTTGTTCGCTTTCAGGCGCTGGAAGCAAGGGCGGTGGGAATACGTGGTGTTTTCTGTCAGGCCAGTGACAGAAACCATTGCTCTTTCACCCCCCTCACTGTGAGCCGTGCAGTTTGTGGCAAAGGTGGCCCGTTACTCTTTCACCACTCCGGGGACCCCAGCTCACTGCAGGGAGAGGCTGCTAGCTGGGAGGTGCTGGAGAAGGGACGTTTATCCAGTGTGCATGAAGGTCCTGGGTTGGGTCCTCCAGGTGCTCCGGCGCTGGCCCCGGTCGGCTGCAGGGCAGCATCCGTGCCAAGCAGGCGCCAGCCTCTGGGAAGCTGGGCACGCTGCGGTGTTAGGCAATAGCTGGATGGAGGCTAGGAAAAAAATTTCAGTGATGCTTGCACGGCGGACGTAGACCCTGAGCGAGACAGAGAGGTGCTTAAATACTTTAAGGACCAGGAAATCTGAACAGTGGGAAATGTATTTCAAGGATCACGCTGCACTAAGAACAGTACCAGGACTCAGCAGAATAGATATAAGAGTAATAAAATGGACAATTAAACCGGTCTCATTAGAGGATACGCTCCTGCTTTTGCATGTCAGCCCTGCACTTGGTGCTCCCTGTGCTTGTTGCTCAAAATGACAAATTTCAATACAGAGCTCGGCTCCCACGTTGCAGCTGCATGAAGTTGCTTCAGATCGTTGACAATTTCCCTGCCTGGTTATTACGCAGGAACAGGACAGAGCCCTCGGGAAGCTCAGCTGGAGGCCTCTTGGATTTATGCAGCTATCTGTGAAGCCCTGCTACTGTCGGAGCGCTCGGAGCTTGTCCGTGCCTCTGGGAAAGGTGCGTGGACCAGTACGCGGGGCTCCGCCGGGAGCCAACTACCAGCCCGTGAACGTGTTTTATTCATGCTGGAGGGTAGTCTCCCATAGGAGCATGAGGAAAGAGACCTCTCTCCTCGAGACAACTTGAGGAAGGTAAGGCACTGAGGGGGACGAGTCAAATCTTTCTAGGGAGAAGTTGTCATGAGAAGCCATGCGATACTCGCAGGGAGCACGGGAGCAGATGAACAGCTGGCCTGACAGTCTGAGACGGGGGACACTGGTTCGAGCATACGTTAGTTCAAGGTGCTGACTGACTTCTCCACTCCGAGCCTTGGCTGTCCGGCATCTAGAGCCTGTTCCTGACTCCTTTATGGCAAAAGTCCTGTGTGTCCCGTCAAGACCCCATTCTCTCTTAGGGAAGCAGCTGCTGATTGTTTTTTCCAGTGCTATCCACCACAGCCTTGCTGCTGTTAGCTGTTTATACAGCATTAACACCCCAAGGCCCCTCACGGGACAAAGGACTCGCGGTTTAAGGGCTTTCTTCAAAGCACCTCCATGACAAGGGGAAACTGGCTAATGCTTTTGGTAGAGGCTGGGTCACACTCTAGGCAAACGTGCTTCAGCCTTCCTGGCTCCTCGTGGTCCCGTTGTGTCCTGCAGCCACCGGAGCCTGTGGGGCAATCCATCACCCCTGCCTTTGGCAAGCGACGGCGCTCGGCTGCAGCTCCAGTGGAGACCGTCACGGCGCTCAGTGGGAGCACGCTTGTATGCAGTACGCAAATAACCGTGGTGTCCAGCGCAACGCCTCATTAGCGCTGGAATGAGCAATTGTTCGAGTGCTTTTTGGTTACCACTGAAGGAGCTAATGAGGTTTGGCATTTGGAGCAGCTTATTTTGAACTGTTGGTGTGCTGCCCTGGGCAAGCCGCTGTTTGCGGTAACTCTTGTTTCATGGCTGAGCACCCCTGCTCTGCTGAAAAGCAGCCATTGCAGGAGCTTTTGATGGGCATATTGAACTTTTAAGATCTTCCAAATGAGAGATGTACCTTCCTTGCCCAGGTAAGGGCAGAACTTTTTAAAAGAGCCCATATAGGTGGCATTTGGAATTTTTAATGATATTTCGTTTGCCTGTGCTTCCTTACCGTGTGCAATCAGTATTTGAGGAAACAAGTTTGCTAGTCCAGAAATTCTTCAAAACAGCGAGTCCAGTGTTAAAAGAAAATGAATTTTGCATGTGTAACCTCAAGTGTGCACCCCTGGATCATCGTGCCAAAAGAGATGGGAGCACTTCATGTGAGCTGAGCATCTCCCCTGGAAGCAGCTTAGATACTGAAAACTTACCAAAGCGGCATGACTGGCAGCTGGAAACCGTTCTGCACACTGACTTGAAGGATGAGTGACTTTGAGAAAACCACATGTGCCTCATGGATCGCTGCCCAGTGCTCCCAATGGAAAAGAAGATGCAACTAGTAACACGGATCTGCCCTGTCATTCTCTCGCAGGCTTTGGGCGATTTAAGTTTTACTTTATGCTACAGCTGCATTATGGCCCTGCAAAGCTGCAACCTACTGGCAAAAGTTCTCGTGTCATCACTGCCGTTTCATTGCACCTTCAAGATCAGCCTCTGGCTGTTGAGACGGTGGGTTCATCCACGCACGGTGCCAACCTGAACGGCCTCTGTAGGATTGCGGGAGTCGGCAAGTCTAACACAGTGATACTGTGTGTTTGTAGCCCTGGGAAGCCACCAGAGAAATAGCTTGTTAGTTGAGAAAGAAAGTAACAATGGTATTAAATAATCTTTATTTTCATTTACTGGGTACTAATGATCCAAAGAAGGTGAAAATCCCTGAGGATGCATTTCCTTCTGATTCACCCAGCAGAAAAATGGAAAGGAGCACAGTTATTGTCTACTGAACTATTACCAGGGCTTGGAGCTGTTCAAACGCAACTCTATTCCATTTTTTCCCTCCTCTTTGGAAAACCATTTTTCTAACAGTTTTTCTCACACAGTGATGAACCAATGCCATTGTTATTCTCAGGTACAGAGAATGGCACCAACTTATTTTCTGCAGTAGTGGCAGGAGAAGAATCCCGCACACCCAGCGCTTCCTTCAGGCTGCAGAGAAGTTGCTTGCTCTGTGATTACCATTGTGGTTACAGCGGTTTCTGTGCAATCTTCTGCCCCTTTTTTCCAAAGAGAAAGGGTTGGTCCTGAATAGCTGTACATCTGGGGTTATCCATATCACGTAAAACTGGCCTGAATTAGGAATTATGCTCTGAATTTAGGCATTTAAGCCTTCAGGGGCTATGGAAATGCTTTAAGTAATGCCCTTCCTAATTACGTTTTGTAGCATGCTAGTGTTTGTTAGAATAACCTTGCAGATAAATGAAACTAAGGCGTGGAGAGACTGGCCTTGTATTATAGAGTAAGTCAATAGCAGAGGTAGCCTTCTGTCCTAACTACAAGAGAACAGTCATTTCAGGCACTCAGTGATTTGTCTCAGGCACTTTTAATACCTAAAGCAATGGGGCGCGCTCAGCCTCGTTTAGCAGATGAAATTATCCGGCCAAAATTGCCATGGCGTATACCTTGGTTATTTATCCTGTGCGATGAAACCAAAGAAAATGTACCATAATGCCATCTTTATGCTCTTTCAGTGATACGTCGTCTTCCTTGTTTTTGGTGTATGCAGTGCCAGATAGACCTAACCTCGTATTTTTAAAGCTGGCAGGTGCCCATCTTTCATTGAAAGCAGTGAGATTTAGGCTCTAAAAACTCCTAATAAGCATCTAGCCCTTCATTCCTTGACCTTATAAGCTGTCTCTTTGAGTGTATCTCGACTGGTTAAAGCCAGAAGTGAGTTAACTAACTGTCTCCAGGCTATCTGAAATCACTTGCTTTTTTTTTTCTAGATAAACCCTTTGAAAGCTGTTGAGAAGAGTGAAATGTCTTGGGCAGGGGGTGGAGCTGTGGTGTAATACGCACGTTTTCTATTGTAATGTGCTTGAGGGTACCATTTTCTCTGGCTGTAAGTTTGATTGATTGGTAGTAGGGTACTCACAGTTCTTGGAGAGGCGTTCTTTGTTGTGTGTGTTAGGCGGAAAGAACGCACGGCTACGCACCTGCTTTTGCCGCTTCCACCAAGCGCAGGGGCGCGTGTCCTTCTGCGGCAGTTTAACTCATCTATCCGTGATCGAGCCTATAGGCTGCGCTTAGAAGTGATAGACGCTCTCATCACAGAGCTTTATAGGTATCTGTGAGCGGGGTTTTTGGAAGTGGTTCACACTGGCGTATCTGTGTTCCCGCTGATGTTCGTAGGAATTTTACTGCTGATGTGTGTTAGGATAAAAGGTCGGTGTGGTATGTGCTGGAAAGTCTCCTTTTACCTCTCCGATTAGATCAGAAGCAATGGACTAAAATGTGTAAGGAAGCCAAAGCTTTGAGTGGCACCTGAAGTCCCTATCAGAGGGTGAAAGAGGTTTTGGAGTGAAAGCAGCCGTGTCAGTAAGGAAACGGGCTGCAGGGACCTGAAGCTGACAAAGAGAAGGTTGTGCTATAGCGCTTAACCTAAGCGTGAGCTTCCTTTACCTTGGTAAACCCTGCACGCTATAACATGGCATGCAAGTCCACCAGTCCTTGGGAAGCGCGGTTGCACGTGTGAGCGTGGCATATAGCTTTCGCATAGCTGGGATCCTTAACTATAGGTGGGTTGCAGCCTCAGGCTTTCTGAGGTGCTGTAACTGGTACCGATACCTCCGCAATGCTATAAACGCAGGCGATGCAGCTACAACAGCAGTTGTTTTCCTTTCCTTTCTAATGGGCAATAGATTCGCCTCTCTGCTATCAAGTCTGAGAGCTCGGCTCCGGCTGCGGCAGGAGCGGCGAGTTGGGTGGGAGCGGGTCCGGCGCGTGGC